ATGCGAGCGCAATCTCCAGTCTTTTTCAGTAACGTTATACATCAGAATCGGTGCCGTTTCAAAAGTGTCAAAGTCGTTCTGTAAAAACTATAGTTTTAAAACTGCTTCTTGCAAGCATTTTATGTAATAAAATATTCACTTTTCTCTCGATTATTTTATATGTACGAAATCAATAATGAATAAGCTTTAATGGCCGTGCCTTTGAAATTCCTTAAAGTATCTGCGTATTGATAACTGAGTAGTGATTCAATTTTCAACTGTCGTGTGTTAGAACTGATGTTTTTTTGAAAATGTCATATCAATCGCTGTATAGATGTACGCGTATGAAAAAAATAGCTGATCAGTTTCCTCTTACAATCAGGCACGTATTTGTAAGTTTACGTTATCCGATATCACCGACATATGGTTTGTACGTCATCTCGAATATATTATACAAATGTCTAGGACAAATATCTGCACCAACGTGAAATACTGACAGATCACATTAAAAATATTATATCTTGAAAAACTTTTGCAAAATGGCAGTAATCGAACTAAAACTAATTTTGGATAATTGGTAGTAAGACTATATTTTCATTTCGCTTATGGTAATATCACAAAGTAATCTATAAAACTGAGATAATAAAATGATTGACTTTTGGACGATCTTAGAATCATCATTTAGCTGTACCTGACTCTTACTCAACTTTTATCCTCGGGGATAGTTTTTTTACTGTATTATAAGCTTAAAAAATGCATAAATAATTTAGACTTTCATATAATACACAATATTGACTAAAAGAAGGCTAATGTTGGTTGTATACATGTAAGAGGGGAACAGAGACGAGATGACGTATGATATCAAAAGGGATAGATACATAGAGTGGCAGTGATACGGAATAGGGAGCTAGGAGTGAGTGGAATTTGTTTTGAATAGTCAATCTGAGGAGTGTGAGGATGTGACTTACGCTCATATATAAAGCTGGCTAGACGGGCAGAGAGATAGGCAATGGGAGTGTGGACGTGCCTATAGCTGATGAAATGCGAAAATACGATATGTTCTCGGTGAAAATTAGCACTCTTCGATAAAGCCTTGCTGCTGCTGATATTTGCGCGACCCGCCAGTATTGACGTACTTCTACGGCTGTTACTGCCTCTTCTTATCATAGGCATAAGACAAGAGCTCCATAGCGTTGTAGCGTTCATCCGAGCAGCAGCAGCTTATTCCTCCAGTCCACAGCATTCACGGCAGCCACATTTGCACACGCTAACCGACCGAGAGTAGCACCCATGCATTTAGGCTACTGAGGAACTCCGGTTAATAAGAGACTCTGCTCGAGTTTTTCATTTCTCGATTGTCGCAACAAAAACTTGGCGCAGGCATTTTCCCCAAGCAATACCGACATTTCCAGGCTCATTGGCACGCTTACTACTTATATAAATTTTACTGCCATCTCCTTTTCTTCGATTCTTCTAGATTTGCCTGAAAGAGCAAGCTGGCAGGTCGGCGAAATTCAAGTTCTCGCTATTTGATGGCTTTTTGCGCCAGCTAGTTGTCACTCGCCGTCTGGCGCTGCTGCCGCACGATATCAGAGTGGCTGGCCAGTTGCGAAAATAAATAGGTAGGAGCAACATTACGATGCTCGTAAACGTCGATAAAGGCGCTCGGTGTGACGACCGAATGCGACGCACAGGCGGTTATCGTAGTCGCAGCGCACACAGCTTTGAGAGCCTCAGTGGCCAGCCTGATCGAAAGTTTTACTATCGGCACGCGATGAAGCTTTTTCTCGTCACGCAAGTTCCATGGCTAAAGACCCGCCCCTCTCTATTCCACTCGACTTGTTCTCTACACATGGCCATGCTATATCACGAAAACGCCAGCACTGATTAACTAGATGAAACCCGATATGATGTTCTTCATTGTTATCGTTATGTCACACATTCACGCCCCATTGCCTAAGTTTCGCCTCAAAATTTTAAAGCCCAAACTTGTTCGCTAATGGCTTTCCAGAAGTGTTTTTTCCTGCACACCAGACATCTCCTATTTCCATGTTTTACCACCGGCAGACAACCACGTCATTCGAGCATTGCTTCTCAAACTCAAAAATGTACTTCTCATCATTTGGCAAAGTAGAGAACTTACATGTATAGATAGTAGAGCAGTCGTAATGATAGAACATAAGTAGCAGCGTATGCTCTTTTGCGGCAGTACAAGCTCAAAAAGTTTGGGATAGAGCTGCTAGACGGCAGCAGCGCAAATCCCGAGGGTTCGATAGAAAAATAAGAAGGCGTACGTTCCAGTAGTCTCTTATCGGCTACAGGCCGCTAAGTTTCCTTCTCTCTCTCTCTCTCTCTCTCTCTCTCTCTCTCCCTCTCTCTCTCTCTCTCTTTCTTTCCTATACTTCCAATCCTTCCTTTTTGGAATATCTTTCACTAGTTTGATCTGGCAAAAGAGTACCTGCTCTATACAACGAGAAAAGAAGCAATTGAAAATATTTTTATTTACCCCCTACGTTATTCACCAGCTTTGCCGGTGAATAACATACTCTCATGTTTTACGCATGAGCCTAGCTCAATGGGTCAATAACGCATAAATCAACATTCAATTATTCAAATTATATACCTAAGATACTTTGCATTTTTCCTATCTCGCGCGCTCGACTTTCGTCTTTTCACTTATGAAAACGATCGACGCTTCAGTTTCATGATGTAGACAATTTTCCCACAAAGATTAAATTCCAAAATAGAAGCTTCATTCGGGCTATGCTCTCATTGCTCGGCCAATTAATTACGGATATATAAGTTCTAGGATTTCCATAAATCTTTCAATTTTGGCATGAAGCGTTTAGAGACTATTTCACAACTTTGCGTATATAGACGATCGCGGAGCATTTCTCATGCTAACGAGCCGTGTCGCGCAAGATTTACGACGTAACATACAGGGATAAAGCTTTTGCCTGACAGACTAAGCGCATTATCGACTTAAACTTCGATAAAAATTATCAAAACAATTGTTCAGCTGCTTTATAGATTTCATTTAAACAGCTTTTTCATAGTACGACCATTACACTGTATCACTTTTTAGTTTCATGCACTTTTTCTTCTCGTCCGCTCCCGTATGTCTCGTCGCGAATAAAATATCTCAATCTGCCACCAAACGAGAACTAACAGTTCGAACTGGAGGCGATTGAAAAAACGAGCGTGAATAATAAAAAGGCTTTGGAAGAATCGACATCATTCAAGTAGCATAAACTTTTCTTAATGTCAGTGAATAACATATATTCGAATAGAACTAAGTTTATTTAACGTAAAACGTCTTTTCGAAAAACTCATCATTAGATGAAGCTCGTACTGTAGAATTAAATTATTTTCTTAGTACTAAACACATTTGTAAGAGAGTAATTTATTGTAGAGTTGTAAGATAAATAAGGGTGAGAAATTGAATGGGAGTGAGAGATGAAACTGAGAATGAATGGGAAAAGACGAAAGAAAACAGAAAGGCAAATGAAAGAAATGGAGAAAGGAAAAGAAGAAAAAGATCGTTTTTAGGGTTGCGAATCTTGCGGATCTTACGGAAGCAAATCGTCGCCGACGAGTTTGTCCAAGAGAAGGAGAGGTCACGCGATGCATACAAATGCCTTCGATCGACGCTCCAAGAAAAGCGCTACACGTGCTGTGCTACCCATGTGTGTGTGTATGTGTGTGTGTGTGTGTATACGACTGACGCCAAACGGATAACGCATATAGCAGAAGGGACAAGCACTGGTGAGGGGGATAAAAGACGTAGAGATAGCGAAGAAGGCGCAGCAGCTTTGAAATGTGACTTGAGTAAACAATCTCGTTCACTTATTATCATTCGATTTAGCACAGATTATAGTTGGAATTATTTCTCAAATTTGTAATCGTCAAAAATTTATTAAGCGTTATAGCAATAATAGAAATCTCATTTACAAATATTTAGAAACTGACTATATTTTTGTTTTCGTAAAATTTTCCACATGTGATTTTTCAACAATTTTATGAATGGAGGATTACAACACGTCACGACAACTTATCAAATGACATTTGTTAAGGTCCCTCCACCAACATCTTAGCACACTAAAATATATATAGTAAATGAAGAAACTCTGTCGCCACATTTCTCCCATGATTTGGCTAAGCGGCATATAATAAAATCATGAAACTTTTTTTATAGATGAAAGGCTGTACCTAGAATGTTATGAATCAATCTCGGAGCGCTCCAAACAGCCGTTTTTCTCTAATAAATTAAAATATCAATGATCTTTTCGCGCTGTCATTTTTGTTTATGTTTACATCAAAAACAAAATATTAGCGCCCATTATAACCAAACACGTACATTACTCCAACCTTGAAAAATAACTTTATAAAAGTTTACTAATGAAATACTTATCATTGATAAAGATTCAATGTAAATAAATGCAGATATTTTATTGCGTTATGTGGATGTAGATAATATTATTAATTTTATTGTGGAGCACTAGTAATTCGAAAATTTCTTGTTTCCAGTAAAAATACTTTGTATGACTTGTGTATTATTATTTTATATGTTAAAATCATATATATCACGTAAGCTTTTTTTCAACGTTCTGCAATTCTTCATGTAGTGAGATATCGATATCTGCAATTATTTAGATGGAATCATTATCAATAGCTCGATAATTCATCGGTAAGCTTTTATAAAATTATTTTTTAAGGTTGGAGTAATATACGTATTTGGTTAGTTTGGAGGTAATTCTCTCTCGTGTTTTTTTTTCTACACGTAGTTGTAATAATCAATGGCTATCTGATATTCAATGCACCGGTTTATTAGAAAGACATTAAATATTCGTGTATGATAGGAGAGAAAATGAAGATATGATGACGTTTAATAGGAAGATGAACCAAAAAGTAATGTGTAGACGATAGCAGCATGCGAATGTAAAAGTAGAAAGGGATAGGAGAGGGCAGAAAGAAAATGAAATAATAGAATATCAAGGATACATTAGATTGGTTATCCACAGGTCTCGAGTTCGAACATGCAGGACGTGACATTAGTGAACGTGTTAAGGAGTCACTCGGGCAAGTATAGATGCGAGGTAACGGAGGAGGCGCCGAATTACGACACCAGGGTCCAGGAAGCTGAAATCCTCGTTGTGGGTAAGACTGGACCTCAGAATTTCTCCATACGATGAATATTAAGCTTGGCGCGGCCACGTCTATATTTTGCGCTACAGCGTTCCCGTACTCCTCCTTCATCCTTTACCCTATACTCTGCTTGTCTCAAAACACTTTTCCTGCAAACTTGCATTATCGATTGTTCCACCGCTTGTTCTATATTTTCTCACGTAGCTTTGCTGCGGTCTACATCTTTCTAGCCTTTCCAACGGAAAAAAAACTGCAGAAGCTTTACTCGAAATGAGTACTCGACATTGAAGCTTGCAGCAATTAGTTATAAGCTTTTGATTGTCTTGAAATCGAGTAATCGAAAGCTCTGAACCAACCGACCAAGTACTTAGCTACGCGAATACGGTCTAGCGTTTTAGCAATCCACTAGTTTGGGATGGGGATTTACTTGATGAATCTCGAAAGAGTCGGAAAAAAAGTTCGGCGGACATAGATTAGTTTGCACCTAAGTTATCTAGCTACCGTTCAAACTTTTGGTAAGTGGCTAGCATTTGGAAATGATGGAGAGAGCTGCGTCATTGGTTGATTGGTTCTGTTGGCTGTACGGTTTATTAGAGAGTATCTGTTAATGTAATTGTTACGATGTTCACAGATGTGCCGAAAAAGGAGCCGACAATCGCAGTCGACAGACAACACTTGCAAGAAGGTGAAAGACTTCGGGCGAATTGCACGTCGGGCGCCTCTCGCCCCGCCCCCAACATTACGTGGACCCTCAACGGAGCACCCGTAAGTATCATCTCTTCATCTAACTCTCCAGGCTGGCCAGTCCCCTGTGAAAGGCTACGTGACCCTACTGGGCGATTAAACTTGCTGCAAAGTTTTACCCTGTCGCCCCTTTCTTTACCTACTTTGTTTTCGCCATCCTGCAGCACTCCTTTTCGTTTTCACATGCAAGCTTGTCATTTATTGACAAAGCATCGCTGATTCCAAAAAGCTGTCTCAGCGAGCTTTATTCATGCGCTGTATATTTGTCGTAACTCGTTTTCTCCTCGGCTTTTTTTCGCTCTACGACTATCAATATATAGTGATTCTGCTTCTTCTCCCTTTCGTCTTCTCATCCGGTCGATTAAGCTTTCGGGCTTGCCGCACTGCAGCGCTGAAGCCACCAGGATCTAGCTATATCCGCGCGATGGATGCCAAGCCATAGCTGACACGAGGTGTCATCCGCGCAGCTCTATTTTGTTTTGTCGCCTTTCTTACTTATTCGACACTTAGCTCTTTTCTACCTCGCGTTGCTGCTTATATATTTGCCGCTTTTCCATTAGCATCGTTTATTTGACGTTACTTTGCTTCCGATCATACATTTTAACCCTTGAATCCCGTTGCCAAATGCCCTAGTCGGCGAATCCCTCATGTACTAGCCCGATTAGTTCCTTCCAAACCTTCCCGTTACGTTTCTTTTTTAACTCGTTCATCCATCGCATTTTCTGTCTGGCTTACTTTTCTGCGACTTTTGTTTCTTTTATATCTTTTCTTCTTTATTGCCGACAGCACCGCGGTATTCTCTCGTAGACAATGTTCAATCAACGTTATATCGTCAAACACAAATCGTATACAAATTGTACAATAAAGTATACGATTAGTATGTGATACTATGATACTATAAGACATCGCCGAAGCAACTGCTAACATTTAATGAACGGCCAAATGTATAAAATATATTTTACAAGATTCTTTTTCGTTGTATTTGCAGCGATACAAATCCCGAATATTCAATTGCAACAATAGAAAGTGTACGTTGATAAGTCAGATAAAGTACCAATTGCATTAGTCTCCTCAACTGACTCTGAACAGAAAAGATGCAACATTAATTCGTTTTTATGTTTCTAAAAAAATGAACGTTCCCATCATGGTGAAAAAGACTTGAAAACTAAGTTTTCATTCATTGGATTTGGCATGGAAGAATTTCGATTGATTTTGTTTTGACGTTTTATACGTAGTGAGATTGCGCAAGAGTGCACCGAAGTATGGAAGTAGAGGGAAATTCGAATCGCGATCAAACGTCTGGTCGCGCGAGCAGCGAGGAGAACGAAAGCAATCTGCACTCGGACTATCGAGACCCATTTCCTGCAGGATGTCATTACGTTCGTCAGGCTTTTCTTTATTTTTCCGCTTGGAAGAAACGAAAGGGACACTGCGCACTGCTGAATCCAGAGAAATAGTTTTGGGAGATTGGAATTTGTGTTAAAGGAGACTGCTTACGCTCTTCATCACTGAATGGACCGACCAACCGACCACCACCACTGGTCCATAGATCCAATCTCATTTTCCTCTACAATTAGAATTTTACATTAGGTAAATGAATGTGTACTTTCGCTAACTTTGCTTAAAGAACAATCTTCGGATTCGTTCGTTTATCCTCGCAATGTTTACACTTCTCGCGGTTCGCTGATTTTCGTTAAATTTCTTACGATGGATATTTATCGTTACTTTTGAGCAAAATTTCGCAAGTAATTAGGAAAATAAATTGCATCTCATTCTTTAAATAAATGGAAAAATTGATTGTTAAAACTAACAAAGAACAGTTGGAGCATTGTAGTGACAAATACCAATAGACCGTGTAACTCAGGTTTCAGGGAGTTAGCCTTGGACTTGGATGAAAAGTGAGGAGTGAGTAGTGGATGAGTAGTGGGTAAGCGTGGAGCAAGAGGAAGTCGAGCCTTTGCTGTGGCAATAGTTGCTTTAGTCAAACATAAATCGTTGTGGTCAACTGTCTGATATCAAATAATCGATCCATTACAGTCGAGTGTTCTTGTGAATCATATAGTCACAGAAAAATTAAATTAGAAGTAGTGAGAGAGAGAGAGAGAGAGCGCGGAAAAATGAAATGTGAGAGGTAAAAATGGCAAGGCGAGGTAAGTAAGAGGTAAAGTGTTTCTAAATAAAGCAATGCTCAAGGTAAAGAGACGGCGAAAAGGTTGCCAACAAGTGACAATTGAAGCAAGTCAACGTTTCAACAAAGTCTGAAGCAGTAGCAGTAGTGAACGAGAGGAGGGTGGCAAGGTAGTCTGGGAGTTGTAAGGTAAAGAGAAGCTGAAGACGAGAAAATATTGACTCTTTAAGCATCTTATACAGGCCTAGGGAACTGTCAGTGCTCCGGCACCAACCCTTGATAAAGTTATTAGGCATTCTGGCTGACTGTTTATGTCGGGCTTCGAATTTGTCTGGAAAAGTGGCAGTTTGGTTGGTAACACGCCTGCATTTCAATAGACTTACTAAGCGGCTAAAGCACAAATGCATTGGTAAGTTGGCAGGCGTTGAAAATTACGAGTCGTGTATGTTTTCCTTTTTTCTTCCTCTTAACTATGGGATACGATTGCTTGTCATATTAAGCTGAAATTATCGTTAGATTTCTTTTTTGTTTCCAACTACATTCACAATCTGTCCGACAATAATAGGTAAATGATATAATTATAAAAATAACAATTTAATTTAGAATATTACATGAAGTTACTTCACCATTGATCTGTATTAAAGTGTTTATTTTACAGAATTTACTTTAACTATATATAATAGGTGTTTTATTTTATATTTTCTCTTCTACGGTAGGAATGTTGAGATCGTTCCTAATTGTCTTTTTTTAACAAACTATGGTGTATTTGTGGTGGATCTTAAAGCTTTATTTTGAAGTCTTTCAATAATGTCAATATTTGATTTTGTGGAGGATTAATTACGTTTTCAAGGTGGTTGGAAAAAGTGATAATTTTATCAGCGTTTGTTCATATCAACGTCATTTTTTTAAATATGAGGAGAAAACTTGGTTGATTAATTTTATTAGTTGTTTTATAGAGTGAATAATCAGATTCCTCGAAAACAATTAAATTATCTAGGTAATTCTTTATTTTCTCGTTTTTTTCTTTATAAATAATTTTCTTAAGTTCTTTTATTGACCTCTAATACTTTGTTTTATTTCATTGTAATCTTGTAATCCATTTTGTTGTCATACTTTTCTTTTTCCTTTTAATTTTTCTGATTGTAAGAATGTTTTGGAAATAAATTTATTCGTCTTTTTGTTTTTGTTATTGTTTAAATGAACGTTATCGTTTAAATTGACTATAGCATTATCTGCATCTTGTTGAATTAAGTGGCATATTGTAGGTTAGTTGTTTTATTATACAGGAAACTATTCTTTGTGTTGGTTTTAATTATTGAATTAAAATTTATTATGTTTTGGGAATAGTATGATGTTAAATCGAGACATAGTTTGGCTGTTAGATGCTTAGAACATAACTCTTCAATAATTTCAAAGTTTATTAAATCAGGTAGCTTATTTATATCGGATTCGCCTGTTGATATTGGTATCAGCCTTTTAGCTTGCGTCACTGTGTAAAGATTTGTCCTTTAAATTTGGAATTATTGATCTTGATACTCATTGAGGTTATTTTGTATTGTAATAGTCTTCCGTCAAGAAACGCTTTTCCAGACTATTGAAGTATTTTCTATATTGTTTTTTTCGTAATAATGCACTTCGAAGGCCACAATATGGTGAATAATATAATTAAGCAATTTTTATCTTCAATTATAACATTTGTAGTTGGCAGATAATCATATTTATGTGCTTAAATTTCGTAATGTTCGATGTAGCTTTTGATTATTTTTGCCGTTTCTCCGTGTGCTTTGCCATCAGGATGATTTGTATTATAGTGTTGTAGAATTTTCAAACATTTTTTATGTGTGAAATGTGCTTCAGATATTAGCATTGAGTTAATATTATTTTCTACAAGAAACTCCTTTGCGCTAATCCGTTAGTATTCTAAATTGCAATTTTTATTTCAGGTTTATCTTATTTATAAGCGTAATAAGTAGATTAAACATTGTTTTCATTTTTTTCATCAGCTGAGTCAACAAGTTTTTTAAATGACTCTTACTGTTATTGTCTTCTATGGTCGATTAGGTTTGTGTTTGTTAGGGTTCTTCTACTGTATTGTCGTTCACTACTTGTGCGTATGTAATGTTTGGTTTAACAGTATTTTTTTAAAATTATTATTAGTTTTGTTCTTAGTACTAGAAATAATTGTTGCTAGAGAATTTTTCTAGTAATCATCCTTTATACATGATTTTCGCCACTACATATAATGTATATTTGATTTCTTTTATATTTTAGTGAATTTGAGTTTGATGTAAAATGATTTTTTGCGCATTTTACAGATACAGAAGTTTTATGACAGTAGTTTTTTGTATGACTCTATTCGTGTAGGTAACGCACTGAGAAATATTTTTTTGTACGATGTATGTTGGCTCGAAACTAATAATAGGTTGTTTTAATTTCGTAAATTTTCTTGTTGTTTTTGTTTGTTTTTAATTCTACGAATAATATTGGTGACAGTTATTCAGTTAATCTGTTTTTAATATTGGAAATTCTAATAATGTTATGTATATACTTCGTTTTTGATTCATCAGCATTGACGGATTAATGCATGTTTTTTACCATTTTCTTTTTTTTCTTAATATTTAAAAGTCAGTTTTTTCCTAATTCGTTCATTGTTGGGTTAAAAAGTTCTAGGTTTTATATTTGTATTTTGATTTTATTATTTTTTTTGTATTTTAAAGGTATATTTGTTTTTATTAACTTGTCGAATAAGATATTTTAATAGATTAATATTTGATGCTCTAGTTACAAATAGCGGTGGTGATTTTGGTAATTCAAAGGTTACCACCAAAGTTGTGGATTATGTGGTTACCTTTCCTGTTTGTCGTTTCCTTCCTTTTCTTTCAAAACTTTAAAT